TAAAAATATTTTCTCTCAGTCTGTGGCTTATCTTTCTTTGATGATTCTTTATGGATTGAAATGTTTTTGTTTTTTTAAATAATTTCCATGTTACTGATAAGTCAAGTACTTATTTCAATTTTTTTTTTTTTGAAGATCATATTTATTTATTTGAGAGGTAGAGTTACAGACAGAGGGAGAGACAGAGAAAAAGGTCTTCCATCTGCTGGTTCACTCCCCAAATGGTCATAACAGCTGGATCTGGGCTAATCCCAAGCCAGGAGCCAGGAGCTTATTCCGGGTTTCCCGCGTGGGTGCAGGGGCCCAAGGACTTGGGTCATCTTCTGCTGCTTTCCCAGGCCTAGCAGAGAGCTGGATCAAAATGGAGCAGCCAGGAATTGGTGCCCACATGGGACACAGGCACCACAGGTGGAGGCTTAGCCCACTATGCCACAGCACCAGCCCCGAAGCATTTTTAGTCTTTATGAAGTCTACCATTTTTTCCTTTTGTTACTCATGCTTTTGTTATCATATCTAAGATCTCTTTGTCTAATACAAAGTCATGAAAATTTACCCCTGTTTTCTTCTAGGAATTTTAGTTTTGGTTCTCATAGTTAGGTGTGTGGCTCATTTTGAGTTAAGTTTGCATATGGCGTGAGATAAGAGACCAAATTCATATTGTGCATGTGGGCATCTATTTGTCCCAGAGCCATTTGTTGAAAACACTACCCTTGTCCTACTGAATTGCCTTGACACCTTTGTCCAAAATCAGTTAACCACACATTTTTTAAAAAGTGCTTGTTTCTGAACTCTCTATTCGGTTTCATTAATTTTGTATGTCTTTCCTTACACCAGTATTACACTGTCTTGATTACTGTCCTTGTGTCTGTTTTTTTTTTTTCTTTTTCTTCATAGGCTTATCTTTAATTTTATTTAACTGAGAGAATAGATGATCTCCTTTCTCTTTCTACAAATTGATATTAGCTCTTGGCAAGAATGTAATTGGGACTTCCTGAAAATCAGACTATCAAAGCGTCTCTTGTGGAAATCATGGCGAAGTCATTAACGGGACTATGACCATATTCTTAGTCAAACAAACCCCAAAGGGGATCAAGAAAGGAGCAGACAACTACCCTTGCCACAATAATCGGATTTACTGATTCCCAGGGAATAGGGAAGACACACTGCTAATTATGAAGCAGTTGAGGAATTATTTCCGTTCTCAGTAAGGCTTTAGGATGTAGTAGATCTAAGGAGTCACGGTTGTCTTTGAGCTATGGGTATGAACATATTTTATTTGACAGATTCAAAGGTAAAGAAATTAAATATTGAATATTGAAAGGAAAGCCCAGCTCGGGGAGCCCTGAAGCCCCTCGAAGGGTGGGACAGAGAATGGCAGCATCCTGCCTCCCGAGAGTCTTCTTAAGGGGAGGTTCGCATGCTAGCGTGAGTGAGTAGCTTGCTGAAGCCTGCAGACTTGACGCCGGAAGAGGGGCTCCAGGGAGATAGACCCCCATCCCGGTAGAGAAAGATAAGACTTTCTGAGAATGAAAACCCTGCGAGGGTGGGGTTGGGGGGCGTTGATGAAGGGTGCAGTCCAAGAGAGGGGCTGTGGCAGGGCCAGAGGAGGGGAGGAGTTAGCCTTTGATTCTAAATATACTTTTCTCTTTGGTCGCTGGGAAAATCCTACTCATTACCCAGCTGTAATATTCTCTTTCTGCATTGCAATTCTCTTTAAAGCTGCACCACCTATCATTAAACAAGTCACATGTGGCATCCCGGGCTCAGGTGATGGCCTTGGGGAGAATGAGCAGGTGATGTGGTGAAGGGACGGGACCTGCTGCATCTCCTTGAGATAGCACAAGCTCCAGGCGGTGACCAGCGTCGTGAGCTGCAAGCCCCTGCCGAGCTTAGAAGCACTGTGACAATGGCTGTTCCCAGTTGAGCAGCTCAAGCGAAGCAGAAGGCAGAACTGTCCACCTCCCTCCCCGTTTATGTCAGACCAAGCCACTCCCTGGAGGAGGGAGAGGTGAGCGCCTATGTGACATTTTAAAGTGCCTTCCCAAATTCTGTCTTGGTGCTTTGTGTCTTTTATAAGTCACCTAAATCCTTTCTGAAAGAAGGTAAGGGAGAGCGAGCGAGAGAGGAAAAAGCACTCAATAAATCCTGGGCGAATGAATGAATTGCAGGAGCCAGATGGCAGGAGCCTAACCGGCAGGGATTTCTCCACGAGGCTGAAAGAGTAATGGCCTGGGAGTGGCTTTGGAGAGGGAGGGGGCGCTGCCCCGCCTCCCCGCCTCCCCGCTTCCAGGCGCCCCAAGACGGTCGCTGTGTGGAGGAGCGAGGCAAGAAGGGGCTGAGAGTTTAAGAGGTAGGGGAAGGGATCGGGGGACGCTGGGCGGAGTGGGGTGGGGGGTGGCAGGGGGGTGCGGAGGAACGCTGATGGATGGTGACACGGGCTCTCATTCAGACAGTAATCGAGGATCACCAGGATATGGGGCCTGGTGGGATTAGCTCTTACGGTTCTCCAAATTGGTCTATTAAAGGCTTGATTATGCTAATTCTAATAATTATCAAATAGCTTCTATTTCCAAGAACCTGCGATGTGCCAGGCCCTGATGAAGCGCTTTACAAACACAATTTCCTGTCGTTTTTACAAAGCCGCAAAGCGAAAAACAAAAAAAGATTCCCTTTTCACAGAAGAGGAAACTGAGGCTTCGGAAGGGACATAACTTGTCCAAGAGCGCAGTCAGTGCGTGCGTGGCTGTGGTTTGGACTGAAGTCCATAGGGGATGTTAGGCCGTCCTCTGGCAGCTGGGGCTGTCCCAACTGTGGCCCACTCAGCCAGAGGGTGGCATTGGGTGGTGCTGTCCGCGATGTGCATTTGCACAGCTCCAAGTTCACAGCCAGAACCCCCACTGTACTTCTGAATCCCATCGCCTTCACTGCCAAGAAGCACCAGGGGCTGCATCTCCTCTCCCACAAAGGGCAGAGGTTCCTGCAGCCTCAGGTCGAGCTGGCCCTCTCATGAGCACAGCCTGGCCATGGGCATGTGGCTGGCCCCTTACGCATGTATGGAGAGCGACCTGCCTCCCACTGAGCTAGGGGCTTGCCCTCTCTGTGTGTTTAATTCACAAATCCATCCATTCATAAAAGATATGCTGAATACCTACCACGTGTCAAGAACTGTGCTGGTGTTGAAGATATGGTAAACAGAACAGACACGAATCCTGCTCTCTTAGAGCTTGGAGTCTAGCTGGAGAAACAGACATTAAACAGGAAAACCAAACTGGGATTTAAAAACTGCAGGTTGTGATCATCACTATAAAGAAAATAAAGCGAGGAGGCCGTGTGTGGCACAGTGGGTCAGACCATGGCTTGTGATGTCAGCATCCCATGCTGGAGCACCGCTTTGAGCCCCGGCTGCTCCACTTCTGAGCCAGCTTCCTGCTAATGCACCTGGGAGGCAGTAGATGATGGCTCAAGAACTTGAGTCCCCCATCCACATAGGAGACCTGATAGAGTCCTGGCTCCTGACTTTGGCCTGGCCCCACTTGGTTCAGCCCTAGGCGTTGTGTGTTCTCTCTCTCTTTAAAAAATAAAAACTGAAAAAGGGAGTGCCAGGGCTAGCACTGTGGTATAAAGCCGCCATACGCATCCCATACGGGCGCCAGTTCATGTCCCAGCTGTTCCACTTCCGATCCAGCTCTCTGCTATGGCCTGGGAAAGCAGTGGAAGATGGCCCAAGTGCTTAGGCCCTGCACCCATGTGGGAGAGCAGGAAGAAGTGCCTGGCTCCTGGCTTCAGATCGGCCCAGCTCCAGATGTTACAGCCACTTGGGGAGTGAACCAATGGATGGAAGACACCCCTCCCCACCTCTGCCTCTCTGTAACTCTGCCTTTCAAATAAATAAATCTTTTTTTTTAAAAAGGGAGTACCATTGCAGAATCATGTTGCACAGAGCAATCAACAGAGGCCTCTCTGAGAGGGGATAGACTCCTCAGAGCCCTTTTCGCGGCTTCTGGTGAGGGGGTGGGAGGTAGACACCCCACCACCACCACTTGCAGAGCACTGTCCCTCCAGCAGATGGCACTGTGGTTCTCTTTGGGTGACTGCCCTTGACTCACCAGTGCCACTGTCCACGTGCTGGAAAGGCCACCCACTGTCACCCCAACGTGTGGCCCCACGAAATGTCCAGCAGGTTAGGAGGAATGAAGGCTCCCACTCCCTTGACCAGGTGGGGCCAGCTCTGAAGAGTCAGGCGAACTCTGCTGAAATCACAGCCCGGGCCGCCGCCTCCCTTTCCCATTCTGCTCCCTCGTGCTCCCCCCTGGGGACACGTCCTTAACACAGCATTCTTGGGGCTGCTCCTGGGGAGCCTCAGACAGCCATGAACAAATGCGAAGGAGCTGGCCGCGCAAATGCCAGGGAGAAGAGAGAGCTCCAGGTGCAACAGGAGGAGCCAAGGACAGGAAGCCTCTCTCTTTCCTTCCTGGGCACCTCTCCTGCCTCCTTTCTGGGGTCCTCAGATTTCCTTGGCCTCCACACACTGAAGGAAGCAACAGATGGCATTTTTTCCAGCAGTCACTGAGTGCCTTATGGCGTTTAAGAGATAGCTATTGAGCCAGCTTTGTAGTATAGAGGGTTAAACCACCACCTGCGGTGCTGGCATTCCATGTGGGTGTTGGTTCGAGTCCTGGCTGCTCCACTTCTGATCCAGCTCCCTGCTAATGCACCTAGGAAAGCAGCAGAAGGTAGCCCAAGTGCTTGGGCCCCTGAACCCACATGAGAGACCAAGAAGAAGCTGCTGGCTCCTGGCTTTGGCCTGCCTTAGCCCTGGCCATTGTGACCATTTGAGGAATAAACCAACAGATGAAGGCCACTCTCTGTGTCTCTCCCCCTCTCTCTTTGACTCTGACTTTCAAACAGAGAGAGAGAGAGAGAGAGAGAGAGCTGTTGAATGAATGATATGGAAAAACAGGCATTAACCAATTAACTGCACACTACTAAGCAGAAAGGAATGAATGTTTGGGCAGGAAGCGACAAGGCTCTCTGAGAATGGCTAACAACCAACCCTGATCCTGACCAAGGGTCAGCAAAGGCTGCCCCAAGAAAGGGACACTTGAGCCAAGAGTGAAGAATGATCTAAAGGGTGAAGGGCCCGGGAAAGTCTTCTGGGAAGAATGTGCAAAGGCCTGGTAGCTGCAGGCGTGGGGCACAGTGTGGAGAGACAGTGCGTCCGAGGACCAGAAGGGACCCTGGTGTAGCAGAGCAGAGGCAGAGGGGAGTATGACACTGCATGGGACTAGGAAGCAGGCCACGAGAGGGCGCTTCGTACATGAGAAGGGGTTGGTTCTTTGGCTAGGACCAATGGGAAGTCATTAGAAAGTTTGAATGGGGCAGAGACGTGATGCCACTCAAGGCTGCAGCACAGAGATGAGGCTGCAGAGGGGCAGAGCAGAGGCAGCGACATCAGTTAGGCGCCCCCGTCAAGCTCTAGGGGTGGCTCGGACCACTGGGTTACCAGTGGAGCTGAAGAGAAGCGGGTAGATGAGAGAGGGTCTTGGAGGTAAAATTAGCAGGACTTGGTGATGGCTGCCAGGATTCTGGCTGATCCATCACCTGCACAACGGAGCCACTTACTGAGACAGGGGACACTGCACAGGTGTCAGGAGCGGACATCACCATTTAGGTCTTGGCCGCATTGGAGCCACGTGCACTGAGGAGGGGACTGGCTGGCAGTTGGTGAGGCTCCTCGTGGTCAGGAGGCTCCCCAGGCTGGGGCTACTCACCCACAGGTGGACGGTAACTGAATCTGCAGGCATGGATGAGGTCACCAGGGAGGGGTCCACAGTGAGTGGGGAAGGGGCCTGGGAACTGGAGCATAGACCAGTGAGGAAGGGGGAGGCCCCTGCCCAGGAGACTGAGCCAGAGAGAATAGGGTCAGAGGAGCCCAAGGGACCAGGTTTTAAGACTGTGGTGACCAAGAGGTCTGCTAAGATGAACTCTGAACGAAACAGCTCTCAAATTCCGAGACATGGAGATCATAGCATCCATCTCTGGGGAATCGGGTGGGTTATAAAAGCCAGACGCACTGCACACTGGGCCACATGAACAGGACTGCCACAGTGGCAGACAGGACCGCTCCATGAAGAAAGCTGCTAGGGAGGGACGGCGCTGTGGCATAGCAGGTAAAGCCGCCGCCTGCAGTGCCGGCATCCCACATGGGCGCCAGTTTAAGTCCCAGCTGCTCCACTTCTGATCCAGCTCTCTGCTATGGCCTGGGAAAGCAGTAGAAGATGGCCCAAGTCCTTGGGCCCCTGCACCCGCGTGGGAGACCTGGAAGAATCTCCTGGCTCCTGGCCTCAGATCGGTGCAGCTCCAGCCATTGTGGCCATCTGGGGAGTGAACCAGCGGATGGAAGACCTTTTCATTGCTCTGCCTTTCAAATAAATAAAAATAAATAAAAGATTTTTTTAATGTGGGTCTTGCCATCTAAGGACAGGGAGCAAAGAGAAGAAAGGAGACCACCAACAGCAGAAATGCTGGTGAGGCCGGGCCCTCTTCACGCAGCAGGACAGGGGCGGGGGGAGAGGGCAGGAGCAGACACGTGCAGTCTGGGATGAGGTCAGGGTTCAGTGCGTGGGGGTGCGGGGGAGAGCACAGGTGGCCAGTAGAAGAAGGCCCTTGTGGCGAGGAGGACAACGGGCAGGCCGGCCGCATGGTGCTGAAGTCGCCCAGGCTGGCGGCAGGAGGCAGCCAAGGCAGCTGACGGGTTCGCTAAGCTGACCACAGAGGTGTGGCCACTGGGCTCAGGACAACGAAGGCGGACAGTGTCGCAGGCAGCGCGATTTCAGTGCAGTGTTGCTCCTGGGAGCCAGATGGGAGCAGGAGGTGGCAGGGCGCAGGCAGCGTCTAGAGACTGCTCCTGGGGCTGTTGTGGAAGATGGCAGAGAAACATTCCAGCCTGTCCCCCTCCGGAGGGGGCCTGGGCTCAAGGCAGGGGGTCTTTGGTGAGGACCTGGGATGCGTGGCCGTGACTGTGACCAGGTGACGACGACACAGTGCAGGGGATGCAGCAGACAGCACAGGAGCAGAGAGCAGGGCCCCGGAGGAGCCAGAGCCTCCTGAGCAGGGGCTGGGGGCACCGTCCGCTAGACGGCAGGGAGGGGGGCATGGGGAGGAGCAGGTGTGCATGGGGTGTGGATTTGGTAGTGGGGACATGGGGCAGTCCTTCGCAATGGCTCCTGCTTTCTCAGAGGAGCACGAGGGGAGGTCACCACGCAGTGATGTGCGGAGAGATGAACTCCAGATCCCACCAGGAAGGGACGGGAGGCATCAGCCAGGATTTTGTGCTCTAAGGCCTGGGCCTCTTCCCTCCCGACCCCATACCCCAGGAGGCACACGGGCTGTTTGGGGGTCCTGGCGTCTCCAAGAAGGCGACCATCCCTTGCCTTGGGGCATTGGCTTTCCATGGAGGACGGGCCTTTTCTCTCCCACTCCTCTCTCTAGAAAGGGGCTGGGGGTGACCAGCCACACCCAAGACTGAGAGCTGTGGCTCTCGGGGGCCTGGGGCGGGGCCCCACTTGTAAGAGCGGGGCCAGGAGCACCAGGCTGCCCAGGTGAGGCCTCGCAGCTGCAGGCCAAGGTGATGTCTGCAGCAGAAACAGTGACCTCAAAATACTTGTGCCTTTCCCCACAAGGCAGTGGCCCTCAGACTGACCTCCCCCGTGGCCGTGCAGGCCCCTGGAGCTCTCGGCTGGCTGGGGCGAGGTGAGCGGCGCTTCAGTGAAAGGCCAATCTGCTGATGGGGGGCGAGGGTGGGGCGGAGACTTCAGCTGAACATAATTCAATTTAAAGCAACTGCGAGATGAAGAGAGGGACTGATGGCACGAGTTTGAGGAGAGTGTCCGGGGGCCCAGGCCCTGGCCCGAGAGTGAACAGTGAGTGGAAGCTGACAGCTGCTCTCCCCGCACCCAGCGCCCTGGGGCCCGGGCACAGCAGACACAGAGCTGCCACGTGGTGCCACTCGGCCTTCACACATGAGCACAAGGACATCCCTGCCCGCCAGGCACAGGAGCAGGGCGGCAGGGCGGCCCCACACGGACCTGGCGCTCGGAGTCTGGCCATCTGGACAGAGCCGTGGCTCTGCTCCTTCAGGCGTGTTCACACCCTCCCGGGCCCGGCCACCTGAGGTCCTTGTCCTGTGGCCCTGCGGCCTGGCCTCTGGCTTATTCCCTTGGCTCTTGTCTGCTTCCAGGTGCTGTGCCTGCTGAGAGCCGGGCAGGCTGCCCAGAGGCATCCCCCTGCCCTGTCTTAGCAAACACTTGGCCACATACGGGACCAAAGATGGGCAAGCTAGGTGCTAGAGACCGATGGCTGGAGAGTCTGAGGACCCGTGTCCCCCTGGGGTTTGAAGCAAGAGCCTGGTCAGCTCAGCAGGGAGAGGGTCTGCTGACTTCCATCGCAGGGCTGCTGGCTCCTGCCCACCGAGTTCTGTCTCCTAGGCCACAGCGCTGGGAAGAGGGAACAGGCTTGCCATACCCACTGAGGCCAGGCGAGCGGGCACACAGGCCAGCACCCACCACCAGCCCCACTTCCAGCACAGGCCAGACCCACAACCTGAGGTCAGGACACACTCTAAGGTATGGCCAGGGAGCCCTGCCCTCACCTGGGCATTTCTGTCTGATGGTCTCTTGAATGTGGAGAGGGAAGCTATCTGTCTGTCCTGTAGGTGGCAAGCACCCATTGCCTGCCAGGCCCCTGCACCAGCCCGGGGCTGACAGCAGACAGGGCAGACTGTCTTGCCTTCAAGGGGCCCACATCTGCGAGCAGAGGAGACAGACACGGCTACAGACAGGGGTGACCAGAGCCTTAGGGACGGCTCTAAATAGGTGCAGCTGGTGCCAAGGGACCACACGAGGTAGAGCACGTCTCAAGGGGCGATACCCCATCACCATGCACAGCAGATTCTGCGAGCAGACTGGTTTTGTGTGGCCCAGAACCTCAAAGTCAGAATCTGTTCCCTTCTCTGTGCGTGTCTCTCACGGAGCCATGTGGTCTCCAGCCTCTGTAGGACTGACCACCAAGGAGCAGACGGGACCGCAGGAGAGAAAGACTGGCACTTCCGGTCCAGGCATTACAAGAAGTGGGGAACAGGGAGGGCGAGCAGCCCCGGGGCGGGGGGAGTGAGTGCAGAACTCTGTCTCGGTTACATGGACCTGGGGTTCAGATGAGAGGCCCAGACTGCAGAGACATGGTTGCTGGTGGGCGAATCGGTCCAGGAAAAGGCAGCTCAGCAGGAAAAAGGGGAGGCCTAAGGCAGAGCGCTAGAAGAGAACTGGAGAGAGAGTAGCCGGTGTGGGAGTGTAGGCCAGGGGCACCAAGTAGAAAGACTTTTCCTAAGTCAGCAACGCACGGACATAATTGGCTGAAGATTACACTTTTTAAAAACTGGGGGTGGAGCCGAACCCTCAAAGTTCTGAAACAGAAGCAAAAATGCCAAAAAATGCACGAGCGTTGCAATACCTCCCCCCACAGTACTCCAAAATTACCAAGGGGCGTAAAACCACTGACTGAGACACTCATTTTTGACCTGTTTGTCATCTGGAAGGAATCCTTTGCCCGGCATCGCTGGAGCCATCCGCTCGTCACACACCAGGGGGCGCACGCGCACCGTTTCTGAATCCAAGTCCGCGACAAAAGCAGGCAGTGAATTAGGTGTTCATCAGAACTTGGTGCTCACATCCATAAGCCCCAGTGCAGGCTTCCCCTTTACGTCACCACTGTGACCCCAACAACCTCCAAATCTCGTTTGTTCCTCCCCGACTCCAAACCCCCAGGGGTATCAGAGAGGCCCCAAGGAGACTGGGACTCCTCCCGCACCCCTCACATGACCGCACTGGGGGTGGGGTGAGTGGGCTACAGGAAGGGGCTTTGGGGGAGGGACCTGGAGGCAGGAGCTTTGGTGTCACCATTGGAGCTCACCAGTTCCCATCGGCATTAGGACTGTGGCATAAATCTTCAGGTGGGCTAAGGGTGTAGCCCACAAACTTACAAACGCATTTGCGTTTCGTGTGAGATGTCAGTGACTCACTATTGAGGTTAATATCCGGTTTGGAATTCAAGGGCCAATTTATACCAGCCGGAAATTGCATAGATACCCGGTAGCCTCTGGTTAAGGCTGACACCAGATCAGAAGAGTGGAGGGAGAGCGGGCAGGAAGGGAGCTTGTGAGGGGGTCTCACCAAGGGCTGGATCAGGTGAGGTCCTCAGCGGGTTCAACGGTGGGTGGGGTCCAAGGTCCGTTTCTGTGCTGGGGCCCCTTTTCCAATTACTCAATCTCAATTCTGGAGCTGAGAATGTGAACAGAAAGTGTGCCGGGAATGGAATTTTGTGGAAGGGTTGGGGCTCAGCAGAAGGTGGCTACTGGCCCTTAGAGGGCTCCACGTGGGTACTGGAGTCCACTGACCACCAGGGATGGCGCCAGTGTTATGATCAAGGTTAGGGTGGGCAGCAGTTGTAAAAGGGTTTAGGGCCAGAATTGGTATTTGGGGGCATTATAATACAGGGGTCCAGGTCAGAATGACTACTCGTGTCCACTCGGGGACAGATTTAGGGGGTTGCAGTCAGTATTGGGGTTCGGGGTGGGTGTGGGCCCAGTATCAGTCTCAGATCTGCACGGGTAGGAAATGGGATCTCACGGCACCATCAGGTCCTTACGAGGCTCGGGAGCCACTAGTAGGAGCTGCACTTCGTGGAGTTGAGATGTGTTGGCGCTCACCGCTGGGGCTCAGGCCCCACGCTGGGGCTCCGGTCGGCTTAGACGTGCGCGGTTGGGTTGTGCTCTGGCTAGGCCTACCCGGCTCCGCGGCTCCACCAGCGCGAGCGCACGAGGGGAGGGGCGGTACCGGGGACGCGCACGGCAGGGGCAGGGGCGCGGGCGCGGGCGCGGGCGGGGGCGCGCGGCTGGAGCTGGCGCGGGAGCGGCGGCGGCGGCAGAGGCGGCGGCTCCGGCTCGGGCTCCGGCTCGGGCTTCGGCTCCAGCTCCGGTGGCGGTGGCGGGAGCGGGACCAGGTGCCCGCGGCGGCGGCAGAGGAGCGGGAGCGGCGGCCTCGGCAGCGTGGGGGGGACATGCGGACCGACGGCCCCTGGATAGGCGGTGAGTGACCCCCGGGGCTCCCCTCCAGTCCCCTCCGCGCCCGTTCCTTTCCCACTCTCCCCGCCCTTCCCCCGCGTCCACCCAGCGGAGCCGGGGGCGGTCCCGGGGGGGTTGGGGGCGCCGCTTAGGCCGGGCCGCGCCCCCCCCTGCCGCGCCCGCAGCCTCGGCAAGCCCCCCCACCCCCGGCCCAGCCTGGCGGCTCCTCCCCGCCTTTACCCCGCGGCGGACGCGCCCCCCCTCCCCCCCGCCGCCGGCTCGCCCGCTCGCTCCCCGCCGCACCTGAACCGCAGCCCGCGCCCCCCCAGTGCAAAGTTTGCCGTTTGCATTTTTGCGCCCCCTCGCTGATCCCGCCTCGCCCCCCCCAACCCCGCCGCCCCGCTTCTGGGCGGACGCGCTCCGGGGGCGGCCCTCGGCTTCCCACCCCCCCAACTCCGGGCGGGTCCAGGCCGCGCCCCCGCCCCCGCCGCACCGGCGCCCCCTCCCAGCCGGCGGGGGATCCGCAGCCGACGCGCTCCCGGTTCGCTCGCGGCCCCGGCGCACGTGCGGTCCCGGGATGTGCCGGGTGCGAGTTCGGAGCCCCCCACTCTCTGGTCGCGAGCGCGGGCCGGCGAGGGGCTCGGGCGGGCTGCACCCACCCCCACCCCCACCCCCACCCCGAGGCTGGGCCCTGAAGGCCCTGGAGCGGCCTGTCCCGGGAGGACGTGTCCACTCGGACCCGCTCCGAAAGTTCACTCCGTCGCCACCCCGCGTCCCGTCCCGTGCCAGCGTGCCGGTCCCCAGTCGCCGGGCCCACGTCCCGGTCTCGGCTTCTTCCTGTTTGCCTCCGTGTGTTCCTGCTTTCCAGTTCCAGCCCTGCAGCCCCAGGGCCTCTCCCGGGGTGCCCGTGTTCCCCTCCCGCGGTCTCCGTGTGCTCCCTCCCGGGGTGCCCGTGTTCCTCCCCGGGGTCTCCGTGTGCTCCCTCCCGGGGTGCCCGTGTTCCTCCCGGGGTCTCCGTGTTCCCTCTGGCTGGAGCTCCCCGCCCCTCTCTGCCTTCTCCCCGCTGCGTCTCCGTGCTTTCCTCCCCAGGTGTTCAGCCCTCTTGGCGCCCCACACCCCCTCTGCGGGGTCCCCTCCCCCATGCCCATGGAATGCTGCCCCTCAGGTTCTTCCGCCCCTGAGCCGGGGAGGGCCTGGCCTTTCTCCCCATTTCAACAACCCCCTCCCCAGTGCCGGGCCCCAGTGCAGCAGCCTGAGGGGGGTGGGGAGGGTGGGGAGTACAACCTGTCTGAGCTGGGAGATGGGGGGGGGGGCTCTCTGGATTCCCCTGGAGGGAGCAGCAGGGCCCGGCCGGGATGCTGGTGGCTGCGGCCCCACCTTGGCTTCTGAAGGGACCAGGGCCGGGATCCAAAGGGACCCTGAGCCAAATCATCTGGCTGGCGACTCCAGGAGCGTGCCCGGGACTGGGGGGTTGGGGGGCCTGGGGAGCTGTGCAGGGGGGGCTGGCTGGGAAGGGGTCCTCTCGGGGAGCCTCTGGCAGCCTCAGGGAGCAGGTGGGATCCAGACGGGAGTCCTGGTAATTCTGGGCTTGGCTCCACGTTAACTCTTGCTTCAGGGAGCGTGGAAATCCCTGTTTTTACTTTACTGATTGTATGAATGAGCCTCCGGCTTCAGGAGGGAGCAGGTGAAACTCCCCAAGTTGAGCCCTTCCCCGGGCCACACACTGTGCACACTCCTGCCCCTCCCACCTGTCCCACACTCCGCTCACCCCCTCACCCCACGTTCACTTGCCTGCTTGGCCTCACACTTGCACGCTTGGGCCTGCACGCCAGCCAGTGCTCAGCAATCCGGCACGCTTGCACACTCCACAGCACACGTGTGCACACGCCGACTCAGTCCTGCTCGCACTTTCCCTCTTAGCCCTGGAAATGTCTTCTTGGTTGTGCTGTCTCTTCCAGTAGCGCCGCATCTCCCTTCATTCAGGAAATTGTTTTCACATAATACCTTCCTTCCTCTCTCACAGCCACTGGCCTCCCCCCTGTGCAGCCTTGCGTGCGCCCTGGTTGGGGTGGCGCACGGGGCTTTGCGAGTGAGGAGGGTAGTCTGTACTTCGGCTGGGAAGACCACAGCGAGGTCTTTCCTTGGGAGTTGTGTGGATGTGCAACCAAATGCGGAACTTGGTGATTTGCCCCCTCTTTTTCCCATCTTGAGGCTCCTGCGGTAGAGCCCACGAGGCCCACCACGGCTCCTCTGCTTTCCACTGAGAACTCAGTTTCGTCCCCCATGAAATGGGGCAGCTGATCCCACCCAGGCCAGGTGCCAGGGCTCTTGTGAGAAGCCGGGGGTACGGTGCGGCCGTGCAGTGTCAGCAGTAGGAGTCGCCTCATGGATGCAGAAGGAATTCTGTAGCCTACTATTGATTGCTGTCTGTGTGCCAGACACCGAGCTAGGCGCTCCCAGCTGGCTGCCTCGCTTCCGGTGGGACTGTCGGCAGCGTGGGCGAGGTGTCCGCTCACCAAAAGCAACTGCGGTTCTGAGCTGTGGTTAGAAAGCCCAGGGGGTTCAGTGTGAGGCTGGGGAGAGTTCAGAGGTCAGGGTGAGTTGAGACCAAGAAGGGGCTCTCTGGACTGGGTTTGGAAAGATAAATAGGAATTTGCCGGTTGAAGAAAGGAGAAAGGGCACTGTAGGCAGAGAGACAGTGTGAGTAGACGTGAAGGTGTCACTTGTGGAGTATGCAGAGGTACAGCAGGTCACCAAGGGCCTCGCCTGGCCCGTGATTTAGCTGTGTCTTTGAGAACACGGAGGGGAGACAAGCTGACAACGCCGTGGAGTGTAATGGTTCCAGAGGGTGACTGTGCGGTGCAGGGAAGCGATGGCGGCAGGACACTCAGTGAGCAGGAGGGTGCAGCAGGTCAGGGCATGGCAGCAGCATGGAGCCCCTCAGAAGGCACGTTTGCCGGCACGGATGATTGGATGTGGGGGCGAGGAAAGGGTCCAGGTTCCTGCAGGCGTCTGGACTGAGCCCCCGAAGCTCACTGTGCCGGGCACATTGGAGAGGTGGAAATGCCCATGGTTGGCCATGCAGCCTCTGCAGGACTTGGGGATTTGAGGCTCACTGGGCTGGAGGCGGCCCGGGGAGAGGGGAGGAATTCAGAAGGGGGTTGGGTATGGGGATCTGGAGCTTGGGAGACAACTCAGGGCTCCAGAAAGAGAACCAGGAGTTGTCTGGGTGAGCAGGGAGCGGCGATCGTCAGGAGACCGCTCAGCCCAGGCAGTGGCTAAGAGCTCACGTTCTGGCTCTGGACCGCTGAGCCTGGACTCTCCTAAGTAGCAGCGTGACCTTGAGCAGCTTGTTCAGCATCTCTGAATCAGTTTCTTCGTTTGTCAAATGGGTATCATAAAATTGCACAACTCCCGGAGTTGTTTCCAGGATTAAACTTAATGTACTTAACAGTGCTTAGGACAGGGCCTGGGGTCTCGTGGCTACTGGTAGCTAACTGACGGCAGCTGTTACGCTGACTGTGATCAACAGGAGTGGTGTGAACCCACCCCCAGAAAATCACTCAGGATTGCTTTTTTTTTTTTTTTAATATTTATTCCTTTATTTATTTGAAAGGCAGAGTGATAGGGTGGGGGTGTGTGGTTCTATTCACTCCCCAAATGCCTGCCACAGCTGGGGCTGAGCCAAGCCAAAGCCAGGAGTCAGGAACTCCTGGTCTCAGGCATGGGTGGCAGGACCTCGAGTACTTGAACCATCATCTGCCCTTCCCCAGGCACACTAGCAGGAAGCTGGGTTAGAAGCAGAGTAGCCTGGGCTTGAAGGAGGCACTCCAATAGAGCCTGTGGCCATCCCAAGTAGTGGCTGTGCTGCAATACCTCCTGTCCCCTGGTCGCCTTTAAAAAACTATACGTTGGCACTGTTGGAGGGCATCCGCCTGCCTGAAGCAGCTGCGGTTCTGAACCGTTGGGGAGTTCAGCAAAGGTGGCCAAGCCCCCTGTGGTCAGCGCCGTGGATGGGGTGTGTGTGTTGCTCAGGTGGGTTGACCCTCAGGTGAGCCTGAGAAGAGCAGAGGTGAAGCCCTGCAGAACAGAAACTATGTTGGGGGTGGAAGGAAGGTAAATTTTTTTTAAGGATTTATTTATTTCAGAGGCAGAATTAGAGCATGTGTGTGATAAAGAGATTTCCCATCTATGGGTTCTCTCCCCAAATGGCTGCAGTGTCGGGAGCTGGGCTGCCCTGGATCCAGGAGCTTCCTCTAGGTCTCCCTCGTGGGTGCAGAGGTCGAAGCAATTGAACCATCTTCCACTGCTTTTTCCAGGCACATTAGCAGGGAGCTGGATCAGAAGTGGAGCAGCTGGGACTTGAACCAGCACCCACGTGGGATGGTGCCCATATGGGCTGCCGGCGTCTCAGGCAGCTACATAACCCACTACGCCACAGCACCATCCCAGGAAAGGAATGCTAAGGCGGGCAACCTTGCAGAGTTTAGTTGCCCATTTCCTCTCACCCTACCTGGGCTCCGGGCGTCTCCCATGGTTTTTTCTTCCAGTGTTTGCCGCTAGGATCCAGAGGCACTAGCTCTGTGTCCCTGACCTCTGGGTCTGGGAACTGTCAGCTCCTTAGTAGTGTTTTAGCGGCTGCTGCTGGGGACTGTTCCTGGTGTAGCCGCAGGAGCAGCGGCGTCTGGTGTCCTCTAGATTTCTACTTGCTCCTGGTCTTGCTGCCAGCTGGGTTTCCTCCCTGGCAGATGACAAAGAACTCTCTAGGGAAGACTGGTCCCTGGTTGGTGCGAGGGTTTTACACCTGATCTTGGACATGGCTGCCAACTTCATCCCTACTAAGGCCTTTCTGGGTGCTAACTGGTATGATTGCTTTTTTTTTTTTTAAAGATGTACTTATAGGGGTAGACGCTATGGCATAGTAGATTAAGCCTCTGCCTGTGGTGCCAGCATCCTCTTTGGGTGCCGATTTGAGTCCTGGCTCCTGCTCTTCTGATCCAGCTCCCTGCTGATGGTCTGGGAAA